TTGATGTATTTATTCTGATAAAGGAGATTTTTACATTTTTATATGTTCTGAATTAAACCATATTATTTTCAACTCTTCAGGAATACGTGTATCACATATGTAGACTGATTAATCTGCCCATAGATTTTATGTCCACATCACATATGCTCTAGTAAATTGTATTGTTTTTAGTTTTGTGCAAAAAGTCACTGCAATGAACATATTTATTTGTAATGTTTAATAATTTAATCATTATTCATGAAAAAGAAATATATGGGCTAGTACAATTTCATTTTCTTGCGTAGCAGAACATTGCCTTTATCCATACATCAAAGGCTGTAGTTATAAAAGAAAACCCTCCAACTCAAAGCCATTGCAATGAGACTTGAAGTATTTCCTGGTACTCTTACCAAGATTTGAAATTAAAAAAAAGCCTCACAAACCAAAAGTTCATAATTTTTCAGCCATTCTTTGAAATCAATAGCTGTTTGCTTGAGAATGATGGCTGAAACAACTGAAATCACAACAATCTAATTCGACCACATAACCTACCAAGTTTACCAATGCAGCTCCAATGGGCTTTTATGTCTTCAATTTGTTTAAACATAGTCTTGGAAGCAGAGTCTATGGACTGTGAGGGTGTGTGTGAAAAGTTGCAAAGATATGTGGTATAAGACTGATCGTGATATCCTGAGAGTATTAATAGTGAAAAATCATGGCCATCAGACTAAGCAAGATTGAAAATGAACAAATAGTTTAAAGGAACATAAAACATATTCTTATAAAAAAAAAACAATCTAATTACACCATTCCAGTTGTCTAATTTAATATGCTTAATCCATTATTTTTTATTCTTTAATTTAGTGTGTTTTTCAGACAGAACCTTCTTCAAATTTAACAGTCTTTTATCCTTTCCAAGGTTATTTTATTGTGCTTCAGCATCCTTGTCTTGCTTGTTACTTCACTTGTCTTCAATGAGGAGCCACATGTTATCAACAGTTTACTGCCTTTATGCACACCTAAAGTCCTATGTATTAAGTACTCCTTATAGGAACAAACATTTTCTAAAAGATTTTCATGGACAGACAATCAATGCAGAATGGATACTGCTAGACCTTACACATAAAAAAGTATAGTTTTATTATTCTACATTACAAGTCAACTTTGAATATGATTCAATTTGAAATTCCACTATTCTTGGATATCATGAAGTTTATTATCCTTGTTCTTGATAAAGTTTAAGATTGTATTGTGTTAACAACATTAAATTAGAATGTAATTTTATTGTCCAATATATACGATTTACTTAGATAAACATCTACTTTATGAAATTTTGGACCATATGGTTTACTTTAACTAACCTGATAGATCAGGAAAACAAGCTTCTTTGGAAACTGTAAAACACACAGTGATTATCTCCAGTGCTTTCGTATAACAATCAAATGCAAAAAACAAACAGAGATTATCCCCTGTGCTTCAGTACAAAAGTGGTGTAAAAGAGAACAGAATTTATCTAGTGTGCTTCAGAATAACAGTCAAGTGTAAAAAAGTACAAAGATTATCCCCAGTGCTTAAGTACAACAGTAGTGTGAAAAAGAACAATTTATCCAGAATGCTTCAGTATAACAGTCAAGTGTAAAAAGTACAGAGATTATCCCCAGTGCTTAAGTACAACAGTAGTGTGAAAAAGAACAATTTATCCAGAATGCTTCAGTATAACAGTCAAGTGTAAAAAGTAACAAAGATTAATCCCCAGTGACTTAAGTTACAAACAGTAGTAGTTAGTAA